GGTTCATATGGATGTCAAGTGTTGAACAATAAAAACAAGTAGACAAATTCAATTATTTTTACATATTTAATAGGTACGACCGGATCAAACGAAGGATGTCGAAAGAGGGTGGAACGGTCAAATTGACAGCTGTTCAGCATCTAACGGCCTCGGCTCAGGCAGGTAAGAATTGAGAAACATCCTAAATTATCCACCGAATGTATGTCTTTTAACCACTCTTGAATTTCAATTGAATATAGGTATAATAACAGCTTTCGTGACAAATCCATTATGGGTTGTCAAGACGCGAATGTGCGCTACAAGTCAAAATGATCTCGGCGCATATAAAGGGTTATTAGGTGAAGATCAAATCTTAGTATAGACGTCATTTCAATCATTTCAATCATCAATATCCTTATGAAACGTTCTGTATTTTAATATTAGATGGTCTCTACCGGATAGCTAGATACGAGGGAATTCGCGGTTTGTACAGGGGAATGATTCCAGCAATGTTTGGAGTGTCTCATGGAGCCATACAATTTATGGTTTATGAGGAAATGAAAAAGTGGGGATACAAGAGAACTCCAGGAGAAAATCGAGATCGATTGGTGAGTTGTGATAACTCGAGTCTTTGATATTTAAGGATGATTATGTATTAAAAATCACGCTTTGTCTCGTTTTGAGGATAACTTTGAATACCTCTTAATGGCAGCTTCTTCCAAAATAGTTGCGACCGTGGCAACTTATCCATATCAGCTTGTACGCGCGCGGTTGCAAAATCAAAAATTAGAACAAGAATATCTCGGAGTGATTGGTACTATTAAAAAAACCTATAGGTAGGCATCCTGTTATTTTTCTATCTTTTTCCAAATTTTGATCAAATTTTTATCAAAATTTTCGTTTTTTTTTTTTAAAAAGGTTCGAAGGAGTTCTAGGATTTTACAAAGGTCTAGCTCCCAATGTTATAAGGGTTCTTCCCGGTACATGCATAACGTTTTTAGTTTACGAGAACATGTGTGCATTTTTCAGGGATCATGCGAGATATAACGATTGAATGATGTGTGAATTTACTGAATGTAATAGGCGGAGAATTCGTACTTGTCACGAGATCAACCTTTTTTCACCGTATTTACTTTAACGTATCAATGTGAAGAAATCAATACATAATATAATAATTTGAATATACAGTATAGCATGATTTTTTATCAATCTTTAGTGTTGTCGTTAATACATTTATCCAGGACAATAAAATATATTAGTGCAAATGAGCATTTGAATTCATGTCACTATTTAGGAAATGAGTCTTGGAATTGATTCGTTTCAATCAGGAATTACAAACGAACATAACATTTTTTATTTAATCAAGACATAACAATGTTGCCAAGAAAATATATCTTTATCAGGAAATTAATAATGATATGTAAATAATTTTTGTAGAAAGGTTCGGTTTAAACATTGTGTATACGACTTCCAATTAGAATAACCGTTTGTCTATTATCTTCATTTTGATCTCATGTTCTTGTAAAAAAGGGTTTAGTCACTTTTCTGTCTTATTTAAACAGAAATTCCAAAGATAATTACTTAAAGTAACTGCACAATTATATCTAGATCAGAATATTGCTTTGTGAGTTCTTTCTGCAGAGTACCAACGGTTGGAAAGTGACTCCTATAAAATAATGCATTGTGTAGAATTACTTAAAAGCCAACTAACCACATATGTGCAACTAGCAATTAGTTTTTTCTGTTATCGGCAAATAATTGAGATGCAAAACATAATGAATGCTACATATTTACTTTGCTATGAAAAGCCATTCACTAATCGACGGCATACCTCGTGCTACCTCGAAAGAGGCAGTATTTTATCTTATTATGCAGTATCTTTTGAATTAATACAACTTTTCTTATATCTCATTTGTTGCATATTGTTAAAGCAAACATACCCAAATTCAAAAAATGCCGAAATCGCGGGGCGCATGCTTACGACACGCATATACCGCAAGTATTGTTTATCCTCACACGATATCACCGATATCAGGTGGTTTTTCCACGAATCTATTCCGTGCATTAGAATTTAAACGAATTTCATCCACTGGATTACCTGATGACGGTACGTAACGCAAATTCATCCTTGCAGATACTGTCCAGTATATCGAAGGAATGTTTAGGGTCCACCCTGGCAAAATTTCATTTCATCTTAAATATTATTTGTACGGACATAAGGCGTTTCAGTGACATGACGAATTGATCGGACCGATTGCATTCCCTCCATTATCATGACTCTTACACAAAATCATTATCAAACCATACGTATATAGTAAAAAAGCATTTGCAATACATGCATTGTGCGTGCATATACCACATATACGTATTGTACGTATAGTATATTAATTACGTATTATGTAATGAAATATGTAGGCATGTATGATATTTCTTGGCCGATGTTTCTGATTACACAATTTGCCGAGTGAAAGTTTCCCTTTTGCGGTTACATTCTTTCAATAGCTCTGTTAGTATATCCATTGAATTTCGATGCCATCATATTTCCTATTAAAATTTCATAATAAATATCAATTTTGATTAATAAAGTAATTTTAATTGATACGGGGATTGAATTTTATTTATTAAAAAAAAGTGCACGTTTTTCTTTGTCTTTTTTTTCTTTTTTTTTTTTGTTGACACGTTTCTTTATCTAAAAATATATTCTATGCTCTCTCTGTCTGATGGGTCTTACAGATAACATTTTTGAAACAAAGGGTATGTTTTTGCGAATTAATGGATCCAAGTTGTCGTCATACGACAACTTCATACCATCATTTTTTCTCTATAAGATCTGAATGTCGAAAGGAATTCATTTTCTTTCGTCAGTTATTGCTTGTTATTTTCATTGATTCCATATTTTTTGAGATGAAACTGATCGTTTCAAACAGATGCAAATTATTATCCGAGATCGATTTTCTGATATCGGATTAATCGCACGGATTCATTTGGAGCCATATTTGTCATCGCTATACATTCTCTTTTAGAATGTGTCATACTGTAAAAAAAAAATATATTTTTTTTTTCTCGTCTCGCGACTGGTCGATGATGGTGTGGCAACCTCTTATCACACGATGGAGATTTTATTCCGCTAGTCTTCATGGTAATACTCTTCACTTTTTTTTTTGTCATAGGCACGCGAATTAAGTTTTCATCGCTTTCAGATAGTTACAAATGTGACCAGATAATAAATCAACTGCCTTTTTTGAAAATCATGAGTCATGGAATTTTACGATTACACGAAGATCGGTTTCCCAGATTTTCCTAGCTGGCCGATCATCTACTTTTTCAGGGGACCAAAAATCCCAAATACGTATACATAGAAATGTCATCTGAAACAAAATTTGGTGACTCCGCCTCAATTCCGTGGTTTAACGATTTATTTAGCCACAATGATTATGCCCTGGCTTCGATAGTTTGAGTTTATCCCATCCCTTGTTCATTTATTCTTTGTTCCCTTGCTTGTTCTGTTCTATTTAAACATCCCGCCCGCCCGTACTACATATGATTCAATTAAACTAACTTAATATATAAAGAAATAAAGTTTACAATATTGACAAAGACTTCATTTTCTTTCATATCATGATAATGAAAAAAAAAAAAATTTAAATACAATGGGAGACGAAAATTCGGATCGGTTTTTTTAATTTGACAATACGTTGGGTATATTGTTCATATATACTTTACCATGTATTTATGTACTAGTCCAACAGACAATATGTACGAAGATCATCTTTATTGCTTTTTACGAAAGGTGATCCACTGACGCCTTTTTACACAAATTTGTTCAACAAGGAAAAATTGGCCGAATTCAACTAACAATAAGATGCGCGTCGTAAGTGATGCTGCATATAATAACATAAGCAGAATATCTTAATATCAATATTAAATGCGCCTTTGTTCTCGACTTATATTTGCACTTGCAGCGAGATACCACCAAAAAACGTGTCGAAAACTGTGCACTGGACAAATGCATCTTTAAAAGGACGTATTACTGTAAAAATAATAAATACACTTGTGAAGTGCTTGTTTACGCTCAATTCTCTTTCTTTTTCTTGTCCTCGGCTTCGACCTTATATTCATTCCCTCTTTCCAATTCCTCTCATAGTTTAGTATATACAGTATATATATTTTTATTTTTATTTATTCATTCCCTTTGTATATATCCATGCATTGTATCGGGTAATCGAAAAGTACCGAAGATCAATTAACCAAAATTTCACCTTACATAACGAGATAAAGCGAACTTTATATACACCGCACATACGAATCGATGCAAACGACACCTCACGAAGACGATGTACAATATATACATGTATTTGTAAATTAAACATTCAATTACGATAATTTATAAGGTTATTATCATTCTTCTCATTACTGCTAATCATTGAGGATTGATTGGGTTGGTTGGTTGGTTGGGACCTTGGATTTAGTTTAGCGTCGCAATTAGAGCGAAACAAATTTAAATAATCTTTTAAAGAGTTTTAAAATTGCCAACAATGCCATCAATTTAGTATTATTATTGAAGAACATGAATCAATGACGTTCACACCGCCGCTATCCTTCATGTACTTACATCTCTCATTCTGTTTATTTGCATATGCATTATTGGTTGCATTAGGTCGATTGTTAAAACCACTGAAATAATTAACGGAAACGAAACGGCGGACGAAAGTTTTCCCTCAAACGTCTATTATCTATTCTTGTAACATATATACTTTAGATAAAAAACAAAACTCCCTTCGAAAAACCATTTCATCAAAAACGAAAGAACTATTTTTCATCATTAGTGGATGCCGTGTTATTAGAGTCTTGCATACCCTTCCGTCACTCGCGTGTACTATAAATTTTTCTATCAATAATGACCCATGCTAGCGATCTAACATATCTGAGTATGTATTTCATCTCCATCGAGCACCTTTCATCCAGAACATGCTTCTTTTTTTTTTTTTTACTTGCGTGCTAACACATCAACTTATCAACAGCACGTGCGGTTTTCACTGCATGGACTTTCCTCTGGTTTTTGTATCGCGTCTGGAGCATGAATCAATTCGAAGCATTGAGATGGAATCGAATAAAAAAGCTTGAATTGGTAAATATTCATTAGGGTGCTAGTTCTAGTTCACCAAGCACGAATAAATTTCCTTACTAATGATCTTTCTTTTTCCATCTCTTAATCTGCAGAAATCCTCAATTACCATCCTCCTTTGTGTGATGTGCCCCCTGCTGCTTACCTATGACGTGGCTGTCACCTACATAAAATACACTGAGGGCTTCTTGATGATACCCATAAATGGTGAAATCATCACCAAACCACAAGATTATTGGAGCGATATTCATAAACAGATGGCGATACCGCTGGATTATGTGTTCTGCGCGAGTTTCAGCGTACAAACGTAAGTGTTTTGGGTGATTGCGTTATCATGAATTTTTTCTAATCGTTTATATGTTTTGTTCTTGATCAGGTGTTTATTGTTCTTGCTTCAATCGTTTTGGAATTATCTCGCAAATAACATTGCCAAGACAACTTTCATGGGTAGCTTTGGTACGTGTCTTCGTTCTTAGCGATGAATTTTCTCCTCCCTTTTTTTCTTATTCAATCTTCTCATTACCATTCTCAAACTTCGTTTATTCTTCCCCTCTCAAAAGAATTCAAATCCTACATAGTCTACTCAATATTCAGCTTTCTTCTCTTTCCACTGTTGCAATGGATCTTTCGCGAGAATGAGATATACACCGAGGCTATACCGCAACTTGCGTACGGGGCTATCATGTTCGTTATTGCTCTCTTGGGTTTAAGATCGAATCGAAGGTTCTCCCGATTGCTAAGGTCCTCAAAAAATTCAAACACTTCGCAGGTTAATATTGTAGCCAAATTGGAGTATTTTAAGGTACGCTCATTTTACATAAGAATCTTACCCACTGGGGATTCGTATTTTACTTAACTCCTATTGCCTTTGTTCCATTTACAGGAAATGAATCAATATTTAACATGCAGTCTCTTCATTGGTTCATCTTCCGTGGTCGCATTAAGCGTTGACGCGCTGACGCCTGCCAGATTCCTTAACACTCACAAATTCACCATCGACCTTTTAATATGTCACGCCAATTTCACCATCTGGGTTGTATTCGTCACTTTAATTCTCATTTTTTATCCTTCTACAAACTCCCTTTCCGATCTGATCACGGGCAAAGGCTTGGCGTCTACGGTTATTGTGAAATCTACGAAAAGCAACCCGGAAGCTCCAGGCGGAAAACGATGGTCAAAATACATTCCAGTGAGTGAGAATAGTCCATGGTCATCGCAAGTTTCCACGAGAAATGATCGTGCTAGTTGGTACCTGGATATACCCGACGACATGAATGGTTATCCTCCTACTTCAACAAATGGAAAGAACCATAATTCCAGTGTATACCGGAGTAACGGTGATTCGGTAACAATAGACATATTTCCTTCTCAATCCACATCGTCTCATGGGATCCGTTCCCCACGTGGCGCCCTTGGAGATGCACCGTCGTCATTTTACTTCGCGTCCAATGCTCTATTGCCCAGCCCCACCTACCCGCCAACGACTATGAACTCGGGTTCAGTTTTGAAGTATCCTTCGTCGCCAGTGAAAAATCGAAACAGTTTGACTTCATTATCCTCTTTGCCACCAATTTCTCCACCGCCTACCATTTCGCCACCACCAATTCCAATAACTGGATCTTTAGCTTCTTCCACAAGACAATCATTGGGTCCGGATGCATTTCCTAGTTCTTCGACGATGGCTTCAGCGAAAACCACGAGAAAACTCACCCTGAAAAATGTTGCTAGTACTCCGGTGATTAGAGTAACTGATTCGACGACTTCCTTGAGATCAAAGGCGTTATCACAGAAAATTGATGACGGTTCCCCGATGAAATCGAAAGCATTACAAGAAAACAATGATGTGAACAACACGGTGGTGAATGAGAATTCAACGATCAACAAAATTACAAAATTAGATACCAGGGTAGTGGCGCCTTTCATGTTCCAGGAAAAGCCTCCCCCAAGGGTGATCACCAATGCTCTAACAAATGGTAAGATCGATGGCGACGTGGAAAATAAGGCAATATTTGGCGTTGGTGATTTGAATGTTGAGCCAAAGAAAAAAGTAGAAGAAAATGAAGGTGTAACGGAGTCTGATGAAACAAAGGATTTAGAAAACCCTCAACAAAAGCCGTTCCAAGCTTCGGAGGAAAGCGAGGATGATCGCAATGAAAAACAGATTTTGGACCCATCATCACCCGAAGACTCGCAAGAGGAGATTCAAAGTGATGATTCAAGTAGTATCAATCAAGAATCTTTTGTTCTAGAGAAATCGCTAATACAATCTTCGCCTTCAGAAGAAGAGAAATCCAATGATGTGAATATTCTTTCGACATCAGTTTCGTCCGTAAAATCTACTTCACGATCTGAAACACCGGAGTCCACGACTCAATCATTCGCAACCACAACCAAATCGTCCAAGCAAGCTGAATCTCAAAAACCCAAGTCACCTTCACGCACCAACGCTGCCACAAAACATCCTTCAGCTGCAACGCCACTTAAGTCAGCGCTAAAGTCTACCACATCCTCTTCGTCATCACCAAAATCACATGCCAGCAAATCTCGAAGATCGACCGCATCGTCGATTTCTTCGAAGAATAGTTCCAGAACCCCGTCGCCAGTATCATCAGTCTCTTCATCACGTTCCACAACGCCAGTCAATAATAATAAACAGGAGACAACATCCAATAAATCATCACGCGCTCAAAACGCGTCCAATAATAACAAGACTAGGGCGAGTTTATCTGGAAATGGGGTGGGGACTGCGAGCGGTATGAGAAGCAAGATAAGGAATAATAGCAGCAGGTCCGAAATTGTTGCTGCTGACGCCAGCGATGTCGACAGTAAAGGTGTAAAGAAAAAGTCCTCGAGCGTTTTGAGAAGTAGTGCTAAACAAGTGGATTCCAAAGATGACAAAAAACGTGACGATGTGAATGACAAACCATTTGTGCGAGAGAGATCCGACAGCGGATTTCATGGTGATGATTTTGATTTAGTGGTGCCTAGTGCAAGCAGCTATTTAGAAATCGTAAAGAAGACGGATTCAAAGATTGAGAATATAACAAACCACAAGGGTAAAAAGAGCACCAGCTTAGAAAGTGAGAAAGCTACTGGATCAAAAAAGGTTGAAAAGATTACCACCAGTTCGAAGGGCGAGAAAATTGCCGCTTCAAAAGGTGAAAAGGTTGGCGGAAAGATTTCAAAGGATGCTGATGTAAAGAGTAATAAAACCAAACGTAGCAGCATAAAAGAGGTGAAAAAGATCATGGGAAGAATAAAATCGAATAGTTCTCTGAGCAGTTCAAGTAGCGAGAGTAGTAGAAGTAGTTCAAAGGAGAAGAAAGTTAGAATATTGGGAACATCATAGAGATTTGACATAAAGAAAACATTTTTTAATTTTAGTAGAAAGGACATTGGTTATTTGAAGTAATTCGTGTAATTGAAGCTTCGAATAAATAAATTATTTATTTTCGTTTTGCATAGAATAAAACATTTGTGATCAGCATTCTTTGTATTTTAGAAAGTAATAAAGAAACGAGAGATTCATCGTGAACATTTTCTATCAAAAAATGATTGATATATAATATTCACAAAATTGTAACTATTGTAATAAAAAGTTTTGGTGTACACTTTTGAAATTCCATTTATCTAATGTTCAAGTTGTTGGGAAATTTCGACGAAATTAGGAAAAAAAACATTTATTGGTTATGCTTGATAACTTGATAACTTGATTGATATTAATTATTTCTATATTACTGCTTATGTTTATCTGTGATTTGATATTTATACTGTAACAATATATAAATAAAAATTTTAGCAATATTCAAATAATTTTATATTAAGAAGTGTAATGGACAAATGGATATTTAATAATTTATGATATATACTGATATACATATAGATTCACAATTTTAAAGGCTGTGACTGTGTATGGCCCTAACACTATATGTGGCGGGACAACTATGGATTATTTGTGGCGGTTTAAACCATTGTACCTTAGAAATGGAATCTCGTTATTCGTTTTATCGCCTAAAGGCTTACACAAAACGCTGCCTAATCATACCGACTATTTGAATTCGCCACAAATGCGCAACATGTTTATATGTGGCAACCCGTTCGTGCAATCGGATCACTCCTTGATTTAAAGAACTCAAGACTAGTTTATGACGACAGTCGTTTCCTTGCAAGTAAAAATCCTTCGCTGCTAGTAATTAATACACTAGCTATACATCGTGTAAAATGATCGAGATACATACTACAAACACAGCAAAAACAATTATATAAAATATATACTGTATGTAATACCAACATTCTCGTAGCGACCAATGTATCTCACTATTTTCCGATTTCCTCCTCTTGAAAAACCTAGAATCTAGAGTAATCCATAAACCCGTAGTAATCATGACTGATCGGATCATGACGTGGTTCAACGTGATTGTGGGGCACATTATAAGGAAGAAGAGGTTCCCTGATGACCATAGAAGGATAGAAAGAAGTAACTCGAGATCTTAAAGAATTGGAAAACGAATTGTGCCACGGATTATGAGAAAATCCATCCATTATCCCGTAGTGATTATCAGATGATGTCGAAGCCACAATATCAGAACTGGAGATCCGTGGTGAAAGTGGGATGGTCACATTTCCTTTGACCATAGATTTATCGCTTTTCTCATGGGCGTCACCTAACCAGTTAATTACGCTTGTGATTTTCATTGGATCTGTAATTTCTGTCTCGGGAGTTTTCTCCGGGGTATGTACAGGTGAAAATGGATCCACTATAGATGGTAAAGTTTGAATTGGATGACGAGGAGCGCTGAGGTTGAGCGATTGACAATGATATTTTAATTCGGTCTTGCTGATATCCACGTGATTTCTATCTTCGCTTTTGACATTTTGAATTTCACTATTTTCCTTAATATCTTTTGAACATTGTTGTTTCTTGCGCAATCCGAGCTGTTTGATGATGGCCTTGCTTGGTTCGATATTTGAAAGTTCAACGTAAGCCCATGGCGGATGAAGATTATCATGACTACCTAATTATGATGAAGAATAGATTTGTAATGGCCAATCGCTTCTATTTATGGATGAAAGTAGATACAATTACCTTTTTTGTCTTCGTATATAATCATATGTTGAAGGCTACCATCAACAGTTACTGAAATTGTTTTCTTATTAAATCCTTCTTTGCTGTATACGAATGTCCCTTTGTTGCAAACATGATATTTTAAGTTTTCATTTTCGATGCGTTTTTTGATGGTCTCATCGATTTCTTCGAAGCTTTTTACGCTATGCAGACGATATTCGAGCTCTTGATACAGTAAGAAGTCTCCATAAATTCGACTTGGGGACCATTTTCTTTAAAGGGAAATCTCTAAATGTTAGAGACATTGAAGATACCACCGCGGTATGATTATACCGTTTTTTTTTGTACTTACATCCCGTCAGTCCATCGTTTGATGCCAGACTCATCCTCATCATAGACAAAACTAATGTTCATCGAAAAACATGAAAGAATAAATTTTAAAATTTTCTTTTCGTACTTTAAGAAAATTCTCTTGATGTGATGTCTTACACGGATCCAGGAACAAACTCCTTCTTTTCTTCTTCCAGGCAACGCCGGGTAATCCTTTGTAAAATACCAAGTCTGCAAGCCTCTACGATAATGGGATTTTTTTTTTTTTTTTAAAAAAAAAAAGAAAATATCGAATTAGCTAATCATATCATGATCAAAAGTACGCGTCAATCACACGTCGCGTTCTTTATACCGAAGATAATCAAGGCATCTCTGGTGTTTTCGATCTTTCCTGTTTTATAAAAAGAGAAGAAAAAAGTTTACTATTATTGATGATTGGATTTGTTGGTTGCAAAGTTTTTCTCGTTCACAAGTGAAAAACGAATCGATTGGTATAATTTAGACTTTGAGATATACTTCACCTCGAAAAGTTTCCATGCTCGTTGAAAAGGGTAGAAACTTTAGGGTAAAGAAGGGAGAAAAAATATTTAAAATAACTTTGTGGCTCAGAGAGAAAGGATGGTGAAGTATTGGAAGTTTGTTTGATTCAAATTGAATACACTTCAATCATTAAACTGACTTGATTTTATTTACGTGACCAGGAGTCTAAAACGGTTATTAATACTTTGACGATTATTTATACATTTTCATCTTGTTACTACATGTATGAATTATGGTTCATTGATTTAACTGAAATGTAATGATGTGTATTAAGTCTGCATTAAGAGAGAATACATAATGGCAATCTAGTCATTTCATTGTCATACTAGTCAAAATCAATAGGTTTATGTTACTCTTATCGGAATAAAATCACAACATAAAAACACTAGCATATTAAATATATTAAATGACGTTTTCGGAATTATCATAATTATATTCGGAGTACTATCGATACTCAATTATAATTAGATTTCATCTTTCAGTATTGATGTGGTACAAAGCAAAAGTACGTGCGGCATGATTTTTCGGTCAGAAATTTGGATAACACACGAGAGCGTAGGCTGATCATTGTTTAGTTCATTGTGGTGAGGCGAACAAACTATGGTAAACTATAGAAGTTCGAAAATATGGTTCCTTATTGGATGGCCATACATCTAAGTCTCTAGATCTTTTTAAAACGCAGCACAATTTTCAATAATTTTACGATGATAAGGAACTTATCGGAAATTGAATGATGGTTTGGTTTCAAGCCGTACAAACGAGATCATTTGAATTCTTCATTGATATGTTTGGTCTGTCTTTACGATTTTATAACCTTACTTCACTCTCTGTAAATTAAAGTTGATTTGGAATTTTGCATAATATTGCTTTGCAAAAACTTTTTTTAAATAAATAATTGAAGTTATCGAAGAGATTTTTTGATATATTTTATACTACTATTATATATATAACTTTAAACTTGGTGCAGTAATTTTTTAATTTTTTTTTATTAATCAAAGTAAACACGTTTGCACGCTTACGGTATATATTAAATTAATTTCTTGCCAAAGTTTCAATTGCAAGTTTCATTTACGTAATCTCGAAAATTTATAATAATCTGCATATGGTAATAAGTATACAGAGCGTGTCTAATTAAATTGTACCAATCAAATATTATCATTATTTTGTTTGAATATATTATTCTTAATTGATATTTGTTCAAATAAAAATCAATAACCATTTTAAAATTTTACATGTGTAGAGTACATACAGTATATAAAATTTAATCATTATTATCATAATTTTGTTTTCATTTTGTTATTATTTTATTATTATTATTTTACAATTAAACCAATATCATATATTTATTAAATTTATTAAATATAATTAAAATAAAAGTTTGCAACTTTTTTTTACAATTATATATATTATAAATTCAAATTATGTTATTTTTTTTAAAATAAAAATTACAATTACAAAAAAATAAAATAAAAGAAAAAGGAAATAAATATAAATATATATATAAATATAAAGAAAAAAAAAAACCAAAACCAAAAAAATCATTATCTATTATATATATTGTTGAAAACCCATATTTTTTAATTTAAATAAAGCAAAAATTTTTAGAATTACTAATATATTTATTTTTCATTTTTTATAACTTGATTAATTTTTATTAAAATAAATAATATTTAAGAATATTTAAAAAATTTTATATTTATAATTTATAATTTAAAAAAAATATTAATATTTTATTATTAGTTTTTTTTTTTTTTTATATTTATATATATATTTATATTTATTTCCTTTTTCTTTTATTTTATTTTTTTGTAATTGTAATTTTTATTTTAAAAAAAATAACATAATTTGAATTTATAATATATATAATTGTAAAAAAAAGTTGCAAACTTTTATTTTAATTATATTTAATAAATTTAATAAATATATGATATTGGTTTAATTGTAAAATAATAATAATAAAATAATAACAAAATGAAAACAAAATTATGATAATAATGATTAAATTTTATATACTGTATGTACTCTACACATGTAAAATTTTAAAATGGTTATTGATTTTTATTTGAACAAATATCAATTAAGAATAATATATTCAAACAAAATAATGATAATATTTGATTGGTACAATTTAATTAGACACGCTCTGTATACTTATTACCATATGCAGATTATTATAAATTTTCGAGATTACGTAAATGAAACTTGCAATTGAAACTTTGGCAAGAAATTAATTTAATATATACCGTAAGCGTGCAAACGTGTTTACTTTGATTAATAAAAAAAAATTAAAAAATTACTGCACCAAGTTTAAAGTTATATATATAATAGTAGTATAAAATATATCAAAAAATCTCTTCGATAACTTCAATTATTTATTTAAAAAAAGTTTTTGCAAAGCAATATTATGCAAAATTCCAAATCAACTTTAATTTACAGAGAGTGAAGTAAGGTTATAAAATCGTAAAGACAGACCAAACATATCAATGAAGAATTCAAATGATCTCGTTTGTACGGCTTGAAACCAAACCATCATTCAATTTCCGATAAGTTCCTTATCATCGTAAAATTATTGAAAATTGTGCTGCGTTTTAAAAAGATCTAGAGACTTAGATGTATGGCCATCCAATAAGGAACCATATTTTCGAACTTCTATAGTTTACCATAGTTTGTTCGCCTCACCACAATGAACTAAACAATGATCAGCCTACGCTCTCGTGTGTTATCCAAATTTCTGACCGAAAAATCATGCCGCACGTACTTTTGCTTTGTACCACATCAATACTGAAAGATGAAATCTAATTATAATTGAGTATCGATAGTACTCCGAATATAATTATGATAATTCCGAAAACGTCATTTAATATATTTAATATGCTAGTGTTTTTATGTTGTGATTTTATTCCGATAAGAGTAACATAAACCTATTGATTTTGACTAGTATGACAATGAAATGACTAGATTGCCATTATGTATTCTCTCTTAATGCAGACTTAATACACATCATTACATTTCAGTTAAATCAATGAACCATAATTCATACATGTAGTAACAAGATGAAAATGTATAAATAATCGTCAAAGTATTAATAACCGTTTTAGACTCCTGGTCACGTAAATAAAATCAAGTCAGTTTAATGATTGAAGTGTATTCAATTTGAATCAAACAAACTTCCAATACTTCACCATCCTTTCTCTCTGAGCCACAAAGTTATTTTAAATATTTTTTCTCCCTTCTTTACCCTAAAGTTTCTACCCTTTTCAACGAGCATGGAAACTTTTCGAGGTGAAGTATATCTCAAAGTCTAAATTATACCAATCGATTCGTTTTTCACTTGTGAACGAGAAAAACTTTGCAACCAACAAATCCAATCATCAATAATAGTAAACTTTTTTCTTCTCTTTTTATAAAACAGGAAAGATCGAAAACACCAGAGATGCCTTGATTATCTTCGGTATAAAGAACGCGACGTGTGATTGACGCGTACTTTTGATCATGATATGATTAGCTAATTCGATATTTTCTTTTTTTTTTTAAAAAAAAAAAAAAAATCCCATTATCGTAGAGGCTTGCAGACTTGGTATTTTACAAAGGATTACCCGGCGTTGCCTGGAAGAAGAAAAGAAGGAGTTTGTTCCTGGATCCGTGTAAGACATCACATCAAGAGAATTTTCTTAAAGTACGAAAAGAAAATTTTAAAATTTATTCTTTCATGTTTTTCGATGAACATTAGTTTTGTCTATGATGAGGATGAGTCTGGCATCAAACGATGGACTGACGGGATGTAAGTACAAAAAAAAACGGTATAATCATACCGCGGTGGTATCTTCAATGTCTCTAACATTTAGAGATTTCCCTTTAAAGAAAATGGTCCCCAAGTCGAATTTATGGAGACTTCTTACTGTATCAAGAGCTCGAATATCGTCTGCATAGCGTAAAAAGCTTCGAAGAAATCGATGAGACCATCAAAAAACGCATCGAAAATGAAAACTTAAAATATCATGTTTGCAACAAAGGGACATTCGTATACAGCAAAGAAGGATTTAATAAGAAAACAATTTCAGTAACTGTTGATGGTAGCCTTCAACATATGATTATATACGAAGACAAAAAAGGTAATTGTATCTACTTTCATCCATAAATAGAAGCGATTGGCCATTACAAATCTATTCTTCATCATAATTAGGTAGTCATGATAATCTTCATCCGCCATGGGCTTACGTTGAACTTTCAAATATCGAACCAAGCAAGGCCATCATCAAACAGCTCGGATTGCGCAAGAAACAACAATGTTCAAAAGATATTAAGGAAAATAGTGAAATTCAAAATGTCAAAAGCGAAGATAGAAATCACGTGGATATCAGCAAGACCGAATTAAAATATCATTGTCAATCGCTCAACCTCAGCGCTCCTCGTCATCCAATTCAAACTTTACCATCTATAGTGGATCCATTTTCACCTGTACATACCCCGGAGAAAACTCCCGAGACAGAAATTACAGATCCAATGAAAATCACAAGCGTAATTAACTGGTTAGGTGACGCCCATGAGAAAAGCGATAAATCTATGGTCAAAGGAAATGTGACCATCCCACTTTCACCACGGATCTCCAGTTCTGATATTGTGGCTTCGACATCATCTGATAATCACTACGGGATAATGGATGGATTTTCTCATAATCCGTGGCACAATTCGTTTTCCAATTCTTTAAGATCTCGAGTTACTTCTTTCTATCCTTCTATGGTCATCAGGGAACCTCTTCTTCCTTATAATGTGCCCCACAATCACGTTGAACCACGTCATGATCCGATCAGTCATGATTACTACGGGTTTATGGATTACTCTAGATTCTAGGTTTTTCAAGAGGAGGAAATCGGAAAATAGTGAGATACATTGGTCGCTACGAGAATGTTGGTATTACATACAGTATATATTTTATATAATTGTTTTTGCTGTGTTTGTAGTATGTATCTCGATCATTTTACACGATGTATAGCTAG